CGAAGGTGATTACCTCAAATATTTCTAAGTGACTAAATGCCCAAATTAAAGGGTTAGCAGGTGAAAAATTATTGTAAGGAAAACAAACTTCCTTACAAAGAGAAATCTGACTTGTGCTAATGATATAGGAAGACTTGGATTAAAAAAAAAAAGTCCAAGCTGGGCAAAGTGGCTCAGCTCACGTCTGTAGTCCCGGCTACTCGGTAGGCTGAGGCAGGAGGATGGCTTTGGACCAGGAGTTCAAGGCGGCAGGGAGCTATGATCGTACCACTGTACACCAGCCTGGGCTACAGAGCAAGACCCCATGACTTTAAAGAACAAAAAAGCCCAAAAAATCCAGTGTGTATCCTGGATGTCAAAAAGACAAGTTCAACTATCCCACACAAATAAAAAAAAAAAATTTTTTTAAGGAAGCATTTCTCCTAAATAATCACTTCTAAATTCTTTTAATAAGTTTTTAGCACAATTCAGGAAATAATTTTGTCAGTAATATTTACAAAGGAAGTTTATTAAAAAAACTAACTATATACCTAATCTGTACCAAGATTCACTGGGAATCCATAAGTCCTTTCTGTCATCCACGTCTTTCTGGCCTTAAGTCCTCTCTTATTTATTACATGCAATTAATATTTAGGTAAAAAATTATGGAATAGAAACAATAACCTTTCTAAAAAGACCTGTTTAGCAGCATCAATTTCTGTCATGAACCTTAGATGTTACCTTGAGCCAGCTAACCCTCTCTTATCCTTGGTTTCTCTGGTCGGGACTACCTTACGTAGTCTACAATATATATAATACAAGCTTTTAGTCTCTACTTGAAACCCTTCTGTGACTAAGAACTTCATTTAGCCATTTTTAGAAAGTTTTCCCTTTTATTTACAAGACTATTCCTCCCTACAACCTCTATCCATTGGTTCCAGCATTGTCTTTTGGCTTGGAGAATAATCCTAGTCTTACAAGCATTTGAAAACAGCTACCATATTTCCCTTTAAGTCATCTATTCTATGCTAAACACCCTGCCCTTTGCTAAGACATACACTATAATGAGAAATATGATAACATCTATGAAACACATTGTAGGAAGAAGTGAGCTGTGTTCAGTGAAGATATCAATTATATCCATATAGTGGTTCATCTCTACTTCTACAAGCTTCCCTTGCTTTCCGTGTAAAGGTTACATCAAAGAGCTCCTCCATCCTGACTCAAATTACAACTTACTCCTTCTCCTTGTAAACCTCAGTGTTTTGGTTTTTTTAAACCAAATTTATACCAGTCTCACTATGTTCCCCAGACTAGAGTGCAGTAGCTATTCAGAGGCATGATCCCACTACTGATCAGCACAGAGTTTTGACCTGCTCCCGTTTCTGAACTGGGCTAGTCACCCCCTCCCCTTTGGCAACCTGGTGGTCCTGTGTCAGGTGGTCACCACACTGATGATGAACTTAGTACATAGCACACTATAGCCCAGAACTCCTGAACTCCAGCATCCTTCTGCCTCAGCTTCCTGAGTACCTGGGACCCCTCATGTGCACCACTGCCCCCAGCAGTAGATTCCTTTTTTTTTAATCGCGCTACTTGCATAGACATTTAATTCAACTCCCTCTTTTCCTAATCTCCAAAATTCCCTTTGGGGACACCCATTCCACAAATACAATTTACTTGAGCTACGTATGACACTTCCTGTTCCAAGTTTTCATCTATACAGTGTCACAGATTGGGGCTGTTCTGAACCATGTTCACTTTTCCCAAAACACCTCTGGCTATGTTCTACACATCTTTCAAGGCTCAGCTCAGAGTTTACTTCTTCCAGGATTCTTCTATGATCAGTCCACCTGCAGCCCAGGATGGGTTAGGCAATCTCCTTCAAGCTTCCAAATTGGGACCTTGTGCATACCTTGAGAAAACACTTTCTACTTTGTACTGTTATCTGCCACTAATGAATAAAAGGCTCCCCGACAATACACTGATTTCTCTGCAGTGTCTAACACTCAGTAAAAATGTTCAAAGATAAATAGCTTCGTATCAATTCTTAAACAGCTTAATAAAATTTAAGTACATCCAAAGACACTCTCAAGTCACTAATTTTAGATCTCCTATTTGAAAATAGGAATAATTCCAGAGATATTTAAGGAATCCTCAGCCAGGGTGAGGATTTTTTTGTCTTTAAAAAAATAAAAAACCTGCTAGTCCCACTTAACAGCAATGACAATTTAAAAACTATAAACTTCAAGCTGTTTCCACCATAACCACATTTTCTCTATATTTTGACTTTCTCAACCTCCATTAGCTTTCCAGTTATTCAGAAAAATCACTTACCTAAGTGCCCAACTCAATCTAACATTATGCTAGGAGACTAAGAATTAGTTCTTAGTCTCCTTTACTAGACTACTTCCCTTATCTTTACTTGTAATTAAAGGGCTAGAAACATAAGACAAAAATTAAACCAATTATTTTTATGAGGTTTCTAAAAAAGCATTGCTAATGCAGGAACTCTCCCTTTCTGTTAGACTATTCCAAAGTTGAATCAAGAGAAAGGTTCTTAACTCACTGCTGCCTTCTTTAGGATAACAGCTGCACAGTAATTCCCTCAATAAAAAGTTTTCAGGAAAAATGAAAAAGGCCCATACGGCAATATATAACACAGCCAAGACCTTCAAAAGGCATATACCTTTGACTCATCTAAATGCTGAAGGATAAATATAAACTTTTATTTATATAAAAGGATGTTCAGTGGAGTGTTAAATTGGAAAAAGTTATAAATATTATAAAAGTAGTCAATAATTAGGAATTGGTAAATTATAATAAGTCTATCACAGAATGCTACGAAGCCATCAAAAGTGATGTCACAGAGTTAATACTGAACAACTGGGGAAAGAGTCTAAATAAATGCAGAAAGCAGGTTATAAAACAGTATCTATAATATACAATAAAGTAAACCACTCAAAGGTGTCACTAAAATTTGCTGTAAGTTTCAAGCCTGACAGATCCAAGGTTCTGAGATACCATATTAGATCATGTGACAGAGAAAGTCAATAACAGTACTAGGCAAAAATGGCTGTGGCTCTGCTTCAGTGTGTTCTGCCAAGATATATGCCCAATCATGGAACTTCAGAACAGCTGTGACATCATCTTCAGGATCAAGTTTAAGTGCTTCCCTCCTTACTGAGTTACCACCCCTATATGTCATGAAAATTTCTGAAATCTCAAATACTACAAAGATACACACACAAAAATCTCACCTAAGGGAGTCTCAATGAGCTATGAGCCCCATTCTCATAAAATATGCTTGTTCTTGGAAGCCTAATAAAGATTCTAAGATAGTTCACAAGTCAGTTATGTAAGGATGTTAAGGACAATAGTAACCAACCGAGGAGTAAGGCAATACTAACTGAAATGACACCTGGGCTTAGGACCTTCCTGAAACCCCAGCAGCTCTTCTTACAAAAATAAACTAAAAAATAATCTGACATTAAGTATAATCCAAGCTTTTATTTTTTATTTGGTGCTTTGTTCACCAGCCTGAGAACAATTAGAATACTCATTCATCAAGAGTCTTTACAGAACAGTCTTAAAAAAGACCCATTAGTAAGCTTAACAAAGACCCTAAACCTTAGAAAGCTGGCTGGTCAATTCCAACACGTGAATCTTAACACCTTCTTACAAAGTTCAATTATCATTCACTGAACCACTCTGGTGACCTTAATCCAAATAGGTATTTGATTAAAAGTTAACAAATTAACAAAAGCCAAATTTGCTACTTCATTTTTGTTTTCCCACTGGCCCTAACACATAGAAGTTTATCTTACCATCTATGCTCTGCCTAAAAAATACATCTTTTCCTTCCTGCTTTTAATCACAAGATTAAGGAAGAATTCTGCAAGATGAACGAAAGCTGATTTATAGTATTAGATGGTACACATTTCAAGTGGTTAAACCAAGCACCTAGATGTCTCTCGCACATGTTCATAAATCTGTCATGCCACTACATGATACCTAGAAGGTCATGGCCTCCTTACTCATTCCTCTAGAAACAGGAGCATGAGAAGACATCTTCAGAGCCCTTCAGATATCCAGCAAAAAGCATCAGTAAAGTATCTTTTTCTACAAAATATGGCACATTTTAAGTTAAATTGTTAACCTTTGGGGAGAGGGGAGTTTAAAGGACTATCAAGAAGCAGAGTTTTTCTTCTCAGCCAACATTTCAATAACCTGGCTCTCCATCCCCAATGCTTTTCGTTTCACTGACAAGTATATCAACATTTTTCTTATTTGTCTGTGCACACTAGAAGGTAAAATGGCAACTAATCCTGCTTTAGCTTAACATCAACTCTTTTGAATCCATTCTCCATTCTGCCAAACATTCTCTCTTGTTACAGTGGAAATCAGGATAAAGCAACTCTTCCAAGAAAATAAAATATTAAAAGAGATCAGCTTTTTCTGATTATTTGTTTTCCAAGTTTTATATAATATGCTAAGCCTTAACTTTCCTAATGAGAAAAAGTGATTAAGCTGAACACCACAAAGAATAGAACAAGGAAAGTTTTGAAAAACACCCTCTTTCCCTGCCAATTGTCATAGGGAAGACAGAAAAGTGATTCCAGGCGTTAGTGACACATCAACTCTTGAAAATAAGCACAAAATTCCAGCCAGGCCAATAGTTAATTGTAACAGAGAACTTCTACGTTCTTCTCTGCTATATTATAGCCTCAATCTTTTCCTACTTTAATTTTCATGGTTTATCACTTCAATTATTCCCCTTGCATTTCTTTCATTCTTCACCTCTTTCTGCATCTTGTAACTGTGTAACTTCAATTTCTGTATTGTTTCTGTCCTCCACTAATGTTCTCACATTCCTTCACACTAGGGTTCAAATTAAGACTGAACTGTTAAGTAATACTGTGTTAATTTACAGAGATTTTATTAATGGTTCACTACATAATACCTCTCCTGTTCTCTAGTTCCTCCTTCCCTAAAAGCCTTAAGAATGGTAAGTGGGTTACCTTTTTAACGCTTTCTTCTTCCTCTTGGCGTTTCTCATAGTGTGAGAAGTCATCAAAAATGGAAGTGGTGTGCTTGTAGCTGGCTATGATTTTCAACACCTGCTTAGCCTTTTCCAGAGGCACTTCCTGAGTGTCCCTAGAGTTGGTCACTGGTTTATTCTCGTTGTTCTCTAGACGAATGTGTCGCAGTTGGCTATTAGGAACGTCCTTCACAAAAATCCACCTGACATCAAAACGACCCTTCCATTTGTCCTGGGACCACACACCTGCACATGTGTTGTAGTCCACAGCAGATTTCATTTCTGCAACGCCACAGAAGTGTCCACTGCCGTTGACACTGAAAAGTAAGTAAACGGGGCCTTTCCCGTTCATGGAACGATAAGCAGCATCCAGTCTCTTGTTCCCATGCTCTGTGCTGCACCAGATATTATACTTAATGGAACGGTGGATATCGTCCTCAGAGTAGCTCTTAATGATGAAAACCCGGCCATGTTTCAGATTCCAGTCAAAATCCTTGGGGTTATAGTTATTAATGGATCGTAGCTTCTCCAACACAGGGTGGGGTTCTGAAGGAGTAGATCCAGAACCAGCCTGAGACTGTCCTACTCCATTACCATCCACCCCATTATGACCGAACCCACTGCCACGGTTCCGAGGTGCTACCCAGCGAGTTGGCTGAGCTGCCTGTTGCTGGACTGAGAGCTGGGCAGGCTGTGGTGGAGGTGGAGGCAATGGGGTTTGGGCATTCTCGGAGATCCACTGCGTGAGGCTCTCCTTCCCCACAGTGCCTCCTTAGCGACTGGGTAGGGGCGGTGGAGGTGGAGGCAATGGCTGTGTCTGTTGCCCTACTGATGCCTGAGCCACTGGTGGGCTATTGTTAGCCTGCTGACCTACAGGCTGAGAAGATCCCTGGGTTGGCTGACCTATATTCTGAACCAAAGCCTGTGAGGGGGCTTTTGCCACAGGGCCCTTGTTATCCCAAGTTCCAATATCCATGTTATGCTTTATTGGGGGTGGTGGAAGACTTGACCCTGCAATGCCATTCTTGGTCTTCAGCTTAGGTTGCTGTTTTGCAGGCTTGCTAGCAATATCAGCCCAAGATGCTGGTTTTGGAGGAGCAATGGTAGCTGGAGGCAAACTATTGGAAGCCACAATGTTACTAGTAATGGACCCACTACCAACAGCAGAGCCTACAACTTTTGGAACATTGCTTGCAACTTCTGTGCTACCCAACTTCAGTGCTGCCATCCCTTGGTCTATAGTATTCATGCCAGGAGCCTTATTGAGGGTCTCATTGGCAAAAGCTGACTGTCCATCAATCATGGCTCCACCTAAGGAGCTAGGTGCATAAGCATAATTGCTACTATATCCAGAGCTCTGAGTAGACTGTCCCTGAGAACTGTTATTTCCCCATGCTGAGAAGTCAATCCCACTGGGAAAGAAATTAAAACCATGCTGACCAAGAAATGGAGTGCTACCTAGGGCTCCTGGTTGCCCAAACATTGCATCTGGCAGGAAGTGGGGCTCTCCGTTGCTCAGTTGTCCATAAGAAGTTAGATAGGGCATGGCTGTGTCACCCCCAGTAGACCAAGCAGCTTCACCCAAAGAATAGGAGAAGCCAATGGAGGGACTGTAGTAACTGGGTAAGTAGGAGTCTGACATGGCAGTATATGCATTATTCTGTGGAAGAAAAAAAGGCAAATTAAAAAAATTACATCAGGATATTTCCTCCCCCACTTAGTCACACAATTCAAATACTTCAGCCATTACCACAAAAAAGTGTAGCGCAAATGATCTCTTCCTAAACTCACTGGCATTTTCATATTGTAAGAAATTTTAATGTAAGAATTGAAATGTTTAAACATTTAAAGCAGGTATATACAGTGAATATGGGCCTTAGCTTCAGCACTACAATTCAGAAAAGGGAAAACTCTCAGCATTTCACCAACAGTTCAAGTCTCGAGTATTGAGAGACAATGCCTTTATTAAAACCAATTATCTCTGGACTTAAGGAATAGGAATTTTGGCAGAAGGGAAGAGTGTTTGAAAGCTTCCTACCTAAACCAGATAACAGGTCAAACAAAAACAAAAAACTAGAAATTTCAAGTTCTAGCCCAAATGTCTGTGTAGCCATTCCTTAATCATAAACTAAAATGCAAGGTTCACTACCTACAGTTTACAGTGTTAGCCTCTTAGCAAACTATCTGGGAACATCAAGAGATGCCACTGTTTAATTATAACCTGGAAAAATGCACAGTGGCTTCCAGAGGATTTTTTTTTTTTTAAGAGACAAAGGGGGTCTTGCTCTGTCGTTGAGGCTAGCATGCAGCACCATCATCGCAGCTCCCTGCACCTCAAATTCCTGGGTCAAGTGATCCTCCTGCCTCAGCCTTCCCAACAGCTGGGACTACAGGTGCACACCACCACACCCAGCTAATTTTTTGTAGAGATGGGATCTCGCTATGTTGCCCAGGCTAGTCTCAGCCTCCCAAAGTGTTGGGATTAATTAGCCGGGCATGGTGGCACATGCCGGTAGTCCCAACTACTCAGGAGGTTAGGGTGGGAAAATTGCTGGAGTTCACTTTGAGGTTGCAGTGAGCTATGACGACACCACTGTACTCTAGCCCAGACAAGAGAACTCGACCCTGTTTCCAAAAAAAAAAAAAAGTGCTGGGATTACAAGCGTAAGTCACTGTGTCTGGCCTAGAGTATTTAAAATGAAAAAAAAAAAAAGATATTGCTGCCTCCTTTGCTTCACCTATAAATAGCTGTAAGCTGAAATACATATCTAACTTTTCCATTAGAACCAGAAAAGTATAATTCTAAAGACAGTGTAGAGTCTATGCTTTTAAAAAAAAAAATCACAGAAATAATCAGAAATACGAATGTATATTCAACTAGTCTTCACATTAGGATACAGATTACACTGTAAAAGCCTCAATAACTCTTGATCTTCGGTTTGTACTGAACATTTTTTTTTTAATAAATGCTACAGTTCACAGAATAATCCCTTAAGTGAAAAGCCTCAGATACACAAAATTGTTCTCCACAGATGTAGATACAGCTCAACTCAGAGTAGTTTACTCTAACTTCAAAATAGTTCTGGTAATATAGGATCCATTAGCTATGGTTTTTTTGTTTTGTTTTTTTTTAGTTTAAGCTGTAGTCCAGAATATGTGTTCTTGAGATGCTGGAACATGGGCTCTACGCTGTCCGCTCATTAGCTATGTTCTTAAAGAGACTTGGATGATCACAACTACCTTAAGCCCTAAGTTTGCATTAGCAAGGCCAATGGTACTCCTTAGCCACTAAAACACATCTCTTCAATATTAAGTTTTCTAACTAATATGGGTTTGATAAAATCGTGGTGCTTTTCTCTGCCAATTTAAATTTTTCCTTAAAAACAAAAGTCTTTCCACACACAGACTCTCGAGTTTGAAAGTTCTCAAAGGCAGTGTTTAAATTTTAAAAGACTCGAATCCATTACGTATAAGAAATTCAGTCTATATGATCAATGGATTAAACAGAGTATTATTTCAATATAGGGCGAAGAAAAATTGGTTATAAAGTAGCTGAATTACTCCAGATGATAAACTAAAAAGAACAAAGATTCTCAGGTTACTCTTCTTCATATACTCATTTAAGATTTATATCATCCTAAAAAAATTTTTTTAAACAAAGACATTTAAGCTTTGGCTCACCTAACAAAAACCAAATGCCCTTAATATCACTGGCTATGCCAAGATACAGCTGAATGCCTACACCTGAACTGGCAGGCTCCCACGTGTGTGCCCCTGAGCTCAAAAATCTGAATTACACAATGTTTTACAAGAACTACCAAGAATTATGTTTCTAAATGCTCCCCCTCTCCCTGTTATGATTATGTAAGCAAACGACTTCAATAGCAGGAACCTATTAATAGTTCATTCCTCTATTTCCTTCCCTACTTTTCCTAATTAACTGGTTGTCTTCTGTGAAAACTTTTTTCTAATCACTTGTTTAGATAGTTTCTACACTTGCAGTGTAGAAAATTTTACACAGAAAATCTAAAATTTTTATGTAAGAATCAGGTCCAAATATGAGCATGTAGTTAATATGTCAAATTATTCAAGACTACCAATCATATTTCATACAGCATATGTTCAGAACTTATAACTATTCCACAATCTTTTTGGTCTTTTAGGATATTTTGGAAGAGATATGGTCTATTTTATTTTTGGTCTATTAGTCTGGGGAGTTATATTAACCAAAACTTGTCTGTGGGACCCAAGATGGTAAGGCAAGTTTTTAAATTCATAGGTCATATTAATATTTCAATCTGCATGCAACTTTATCTTCGCATTAGAAGACAGATTATATTATAAAAACCTCAACCACTCTTGATCTTACTTTGTCCTAAACAGTACTTTATGTATTTTTTTTTTTTTTTGAGACAGAGTCTCATTCTGTTGCCCGGACTAGAGTGCCGTGGTGTCAGCCTAACTCGCAGCAACCTCAAACTCCTGGGCTCAAGCGATCCTCCTGCCTCAGCCTCCCAAGTAGCTAGGACTACAGGCATGCACCACCATGCCCAGCTACTTTTTTCTATATGTTTTTAGTTGTCAAGCTAATTTCTTTCTATTTTTAGTAGAGACGGGGTCTCGCTCTTGCTCAGGCTGGTCTCAAACTTTTGAGCTCAAACAATCTACCCGCCTCGGCCTCCCAGAGTGCTAGGATTACAGGCATGAACCACCACACCCGGCCCTAAACAGTACTTTAACTCCATTTTATAAATCCTATGGCTTCCTTCAGTGTGAAGACATGCAAAGTTGGTTTCTACAGATGTAGGTACAGCTCAATTCAAAAATGCAAATACCTAACTCCAAAATACTGACAATCTAAGAACCCATTAGCACTGAATGAAGTTCAGGTGACTTCATATTAGAATTTTTTTCCCATCACATATTAATCCAATTTTCCTAAAAGAAAAAGTTCTCTAGAGTGAAAATTCAGAATATTTAACACTGGCAAGCAGTCTTAAGTTTTACACTGCTATATTCTTGACAAGTGGGGGGACGATTATTCAAACAGGTGTTACTGTTAGTACACATAAAGCGTTATCAGTATCACAGTCTCAGTACAGTATGTTTACTGACAATACAGAGACGGGAACCTTAAAAGCCTATAAAATTTGTAATAACTGTTTTATAACACACTAATAGGTATTAAGAAAGTGAACCCCCAGAAAGTGAGATTTATTGATAGGGCAGAGAAAGAGTAGTATACTACACCCTTTGATCAGATATGTAAATGGTTAACTACTCACGGGCCTTGCCTGTGGACTCAAGTAAGGTTCAAAATCATCATCGTTTAATCCATCCTTTTGATGTACAGATCCATTTTGTACTAAAAAAAAAAATACAAATTAGGAGCGTCCCAATCCTACAGTCTCCCTCCCAAATTAATCAAACATCCTAATCAGAGAAAAACCTTACTAGTTAGAAAGGCATGTAAACTTGAACTTCAAAAGGATAAAGATGAGAGTGAATGCTGAAGCAATGTCCGTCAGCGAAAATATCTCCCTCCACCCAGAGCAAGTTGATCTAAAAAGGTCATTTTATTGGCTCCTCTAGATATCTGCTCCCTCCCGCTTCCCCTCCCCCACCACATGTGAGTACTTCCAGACAGTGCTCCACGAGGATGAAAAACAAAGGCCTTCTAAGACCTACAGGAAACTAAGGACCTGGGGCATTTCAAAACCGAATCCACTCCCACCCTTAATGAATTACTCCTTGTTAGCTAAAAAGCTGTTCGGCAGCTGCAAGAACGCACCGAAAGGATCAACACTTCAGCGGGAGGCACCTGCGAACTAAGCGGCTTCCGAAAGGTCCTCTCCCCGGGGCGCTGCCCCGAGACCCCGCCCCCACTACTCGGCGTCCCCCTCCCGGCCCGGGCCAGCGGCGGAGCGGGGCTTACCTTTGTTTCCTTGACCTTTTGGTCTCTGCGGGCGGAGGAAACGTCGCCGAGCAGCAAGTTGTCCGAGGGGGAAATAGAAAAGCAAAGACAAATTAAAGCAGGGCCCGAAAAAGGAATAAAGGAGCAGGCCTGAGGGGGAGGCGTCAGGAATGGTGGTGAGGGGGAGGTGGAAAATGGGAGGCAAGCGAAAGCGCTGGGCCGGCGGGGCCCGGGGAGAAAAAGCGGGGGACGCCAGCAGCAACGCGGGGAAACCGGGGCTTCGACAAGGGGAAGGAAATAAGGAAGGAAAACGAGGCCCGCTGTGGGAACGCGGAGCGGCCGGTGGGCTCCGAGGCCCGGGAAGAGCGGGCTGAGGGCGAGGCGCTGGGCGCGGCTGGCCTCAGAGGCCCGAAACGCGGCCCACGAGATGCGCCGCCTCGGCTCGGCCCGACCGGGGGCGGCGGGCCCGGGCCTAGTCGGACTCCCTCTCGCCTCACACAATGGCCGAGGCATGCGGGCCGGGCCTGTACCTGCTCCAAGAGGCTGCTGGCCGACATGGCTCTCGGATCCTCACGGGCGGAGACGGCAGCGAACTCTCCTCAGCGCGGCGGCGGTGGCGGCAGATGAGCCCCGGCTGCGGAAGTAGGCAGCGCGGCGGCGGCGGCTTTTGTCCCTGACACTCGGGAGCCTCGGCGGACGCAGCGGAGACACAGCGCGCGGCTCGGGCTCCGGCTCCGACTCAGCGACGCTCTAGCCCGAGAGCTCAACGCCCGTCTCTATGCTTTTACGCGCGCGCCCGCCCCTCACAGCCGAAATAAGAGCGCCGAGCAGCGGAGGCGGGCGGCGCGCGCGACGCGGGCGCTGACTCTCACATTCACTCACCCACGCGGAAGGGGCCCGGCGCGAAGCACCCCGGGAAGGAAGAGGCGGGGCCGCGGCGCCCTCTGGTGGTCTGGAGGAGCGGAAGCGGCGCGCGCGGCCTCCTCGCCCCCACCGCCTCAGGATTGGGGCCTATGGGGGTGGGGGCGGCCAGTGTCTCGCCGAGAGGTTTTGACTAGCACCTGGAGAGGGTAGCTTTAGCTTGAGAAAACCGTCAAAAGCTGGTTTCTCAATGATGGAGGGGTGTCGGAGACCGGGAGACCCTAAAATGAACCTGCCTCCCAGCTGCAAGTGGCATCCCACCCCCATCTGGGAGAGAGCCCGAAGAGGGGTCACAGAGCCCCCAAGGAAACTTTGTGGGGGGTCCTGCCCTGGAGAGTGACACCCCCACCCACCCGGTGAGGGCCCTGGCCATCCTCCTCTGTTAGCAGATTGCAAAAAGAGTACCCCAGAGAGCAAAATCTCCACACAAAAAATCCGGTCCCCCAAAAAAGAGGGTCACTCATTAACATTGCAGGGAGGAGAATCTACCTTTCCTCAGGGAAGTCACTGGCCCCCCAAAATAATCTGTTAAATTGCGGACTTCATTTCCAAGAAAAATACACCTCACACATCTACACAAAATGTTACATTTACTTTCTTTCTTTCTTTCTTTTTTGAGACAGTCTCACTCTGTTGCCAGGGCTATAGTGTAGTGGTGTCAGCCTAGCTCACAGCAACCTCAAACTCCTGGGCTCAAGGGATCTTCCTGCCTCAGCCTCCCAAGCAGCTGGGACTGCAAGCACGGGCCACCACACCCGGCTAATTTTTTTCTATATTTTTAGTTGTCTGGCTAATTTCTTTCTAGTTTTCGTAGAGACGGGGGTCTCACTCTTGCTCAGGCTGGTCTCGCTTGGCCTCCCAGAGTGCTAGGATTACAGGCATGAGCCACGACCCATGGCCAAGAGGGAATGTCCTTGATCTGGGGAAGCAAAGAAATTAACATTATTCTAATACCTGCTGTGGGCCAAGCTTTGTTGTTGGGTGTTTTCAAACACATTCAAGTCTTTCAACAACTTCAAAATAGATATCAGTCTCTTCATTTCACTACTGGAAAAACAGAGGTTTAAGTAACGTGACCAAGTTTACAAAGCTATTATATAGCCAGGTGTATCTGACATTAACAGGAACATAATCCGCCACCACCACAAAAGAAATTCTCTATTCAGGTACCAGAATGCAATGGAGACCCAAAGGATGGGCATAAGCATTTTTAATCAGAAAACTCAACTCATCCAGGGATATTTGATACTAGGAAAGCCCATCAAATAGCTTTTGTTATTGCAAATAAGTTGCAGTAAACAGATAAATAATGCACTATTAATTGTTAACCTCATACCATCCACTTGCTGGATACAGGAGGCTTTGGTCGACTCAGTAGCAAAATAAATGATAACATGACATCTTGGATTTTACATCATATTTTGTTCAAAGTGCTCAAAGCTTTTTTTCCCCCTGCCCATAATCACATTTATGGTAGGAATGAATAAGGTCAGGCACCAAATGTGATGGACTTTTAGTGGAGACAGTAAAATGTCAAGTCTCAGAGTGTAGATTCCATGAAGATAATTTTTTGATTAATTATTTTTTATAGCGCAACCCAGTCGCCCACAAGATGGAGCCAGGGTGGGCCCTGGGAGGGCGGGACTCCCACCAAGGGAATAAAAGATACCTAGTAATACTTTTTTAAAAGATAATCAACCAGTTAGCCCCATGGCCCAGATTTATGTATAAACTGTAACCAGTTGCCTATCCTTACCTTTGGAGGCAGGAAGGTATTGTAAAAAGAGGATTAGACCAGGAGTCATACGCTGGGAGAGAAAGGGTCTAAATACTGGTTTTCCCACCAGATGTGCAACATTAGGGAAATTACTAAACCTTTCTCAGATTCCCTCATTTAATAAAGTGGATAATACTACCGACCTAACAGGTTTATTGAGAAGATAAAGTTTTAAAAAAAAACAGACATTAAAGCGTGTCTGGTACATTGTAGGTTCGTTTCTTATAATCTCATTAGGGGATGTAAGTAAAAATTCTTTCCTTCCAGTAATATCTTCATGGTGCCAGAAATTTTGATTAGTTCCTTTGGGATTACCTTCTGTTCTCCAGGAGTTCCCAGTTAAAATGTAAATATCCCTGGGAGAAGGGTAATCTCTAAACGCGGATTAGTTTACCAGATTGGCTTTAATAGGCCCCTGAGAAACTGAAGCCACAAGACTGATATATTTAATCATTGGAAAGAGGGAGGGGAAGTTGGAATGTGCGGTATTATTTTATAGTCTGGAGGAAAGAATACCGTACTGGAAATGGGTTTAGATTCTAGTTTCAGCTCTGCCACTGGGTGGATGAAGCATTCAATCCCTCTTGCAACAAATATTTATTAAGGGCCAGAAAACGTACCCAGGAGAAAGTCTTAAGACAGTTCACTTCTTCCTTAAGCTTTAGACTACTCAGGAAAACTGAAACTAAGCAAATAGTTACTCAGTTACAATTATGGAAAGTGCAATGAGGAAGTACAGACAGATGCAGTCTCCTCAGAGGAGCTGGGGAACTTTCCCCTGAGGAAATAAGCTTCAGCTAAAACATGAAGGATGAGGAGAAATTAGCCAGGCAAGGAAGGAGGGAAGCAAGAGAACAGTATGTTTCAAAGGCCCTAAACAAGGAGGGAATTTGGCACTAGTGACAAACTAAAAGAAGGCCAGCATGACTGGAGCATAATGAGAGAGAGGGTGGCACCGGATGAGGCTGGAAAATTGGGCAGAATGGAGAAAAATAAAGACTTCAGTCTTTCACTATAAGCAATGATCAGTCGATAAAGGGTTAATAGAAGCATAGCAGGCTCTGTTTTAGGGTTTTAAGAAATTCCCCCTGGTTACAGTGTGGAAAATAGATTTAGGGAAAGAGAGTAGATTAGGAATTAGAAGAGTGTTGCAGTAAATCCAGGCAAAAAATAATGGTGGCAGGCTCTAATACAGTGGCAATGAAGACAGTGAGAAGTAGATAAAACTGAGAAGTTTTAGCTGGCCGGGCGCGGTGGCTCACGCCTGTAATCCTAGCACTCTGGGAGGCTGAGGCGGGCGGATTGTTTGAGCTCAGGAGACCAGCCTGAGCAAGAGCGAGACCCCCTCCCCCCGTCTCTACCAAAAATAGAAAGAAATTAACTGGACAGCTAAAAATATATAGAAAAAAAAAATTAGCTGGGCATGGCGGCACATGCCTGTAGTCCCAGCTACTTGGGAGGCTTGAGGCAGTAGGATTGCTTGAGCTAGGCTGACGCCAGGGCACTCACTCTAGCCCCGGCAACAAAGTGAGATTCTGTCTCAAAAAAAAAAAAAAAAAAAACTGAGAAGTTTTAGAAGGTAAAATGAGAGGTCTTCCTGGTTGACTGGACTGGGAGGGGAGACACTAAAGGGGAAGGCAGTATTGAGGATGATACCTGGTTTGATGTGAGCATCTAGCTGGAGGAGGTGCCTTTTTCTGGTGTGGGGTGGGAAAAGGGCACACATTTATCTTTGGACTTGCTAGATTTCAGGCAAACATAAACATCAAATGGAAATGCTCTGTGGACAGTTAAAGGGTTTAGGGCTCAGAGAGAAAAACAGGGCTGGGAGTACAATCTTGGTGCCTTTGTTATACAGATGTTAGTTAAAGCCAAAGGGATCCATGAGATTTCTTCAGAAGAGGAGAAGAGCACCAGACCAGAGAGAGAGGAGGGAAACCAGGAGAGGCAATCATTTCCTCACTTGCCTATTTCCAAGACTGTAAAATAAGGAAGACGGACCAAAAAAAAACCTCTGAGTCCCTTCTGCTTCCACCATTTTAGACCTCTGGTGGAAACCAAAGGGATCCTTCTAGATATTTGAGGGGCGGAGGTGGTAGTAAGAGAGAGAAAGAAACAGGAAGGAGAAAAGGGCAGATTTTATGCACTCTTCAGAACTTTTCCATGGGCTGGACTGGGTCCTAGAGTTCTGGTTCTCAAATTTTCCTGTTTTCCAAGGCCTTTAACAGAACAGCAGACTTCATCGCCCAAGTTACCCCTTAATGTGGCAGGAATAAAAGAGACCGCCTGTGGAAATGTTTATATACCTCACACAACTAACTGTAAAAACCTATGTTTAAAGATTTCTGCTGGTTCTCTGTGGTCTACATGGTGTACAAAGCTTGTCACTCTCTAGCCCTGTGTATTTCTGAAGCCTCAACTGCCACGTCAACCCGAACACTCCATGCAGCAGCCACACTGCACTTTTTCCCAAATACACTTTCTGGAGCCCATGATTTTACACATGCAGTTCTTTTTGCCTGAAATGCCTTTGCCCTCTTCCCCACCCAATTGCTATCTGTCCTCCAAGATCCTAATCAATGAAGCCTTCATTTTCCTCTCAGCAGAAAGAAGGTGCTGTTCTTTGTTTACACATAATATTGATCATATTTCCTTATGGTAACTTCTTTTAATGTATTAAAACTATCCATTTCCATCAATATTTCTTTTTCTTTTAGAAATCTTGGACTCAGTTGAGAATCTAATGAGAGTAATGAATCTACTCTCCAGAAAAATACACATACACCCACATTTTTGCAGAGGATCTCACTGACCATCGCCTCCCCCAAGCCCATCTACCCTATGGGCCCCAGCTGAAGAAAACCTCTAGCTTACACATTGCCTCTCCAATAAATCTACAACTGTTTATAGCACAAAGAACTTTTTTTTATTATTAATCTTTATCATTCAATGCTAAGTAAATGTTTGCATTGATCTGTTATCTCATTCATTTTCAAAATTCTCCCTAGTAATGTCAATCCTCATTTTATAGATGAAAACCTGGTGGGACCATCATTTGTGTTAAGAAGTTAAATGCACCTGGGACTTGGTGGCTTGTGCCTGTAGTCCCAGCTACTAGGAAGGCTGGGCAGGAGGATCCCTTGAGCCTAGGAGTTAGAGGCTGCAGTGAGTGATAGTGCCACTGCACTGCAGCCTGGGCGACAGAGCAAAAGACCT